TTGGAGTCTTCAGGTTCCCACCTGGGCTCTGTTCCAGGCCTTCCTGCTGAGGTCAGATTAAGCCTCTGGGCCTGCAGCAACGGGAGGACTGAGCCTCAGCGGTCCTAATTTTAATATGCACAAAGGAACCATGATGAGATCACCTAGATACAAAAATTAAACATCAGCATCCCCACAGAGACCAGCGGGCTGCCCCCACAGCTGGGCAGAGCCTCTGCAGCTTCTGGCAGTGGGTGAGGGGTGGCTGGGCTTTAGGAAGCAAGTCTGGTTTCCACACTTGTGAAGCACTTGGCCAGTGCCTGGCACAGGGTAAGTCCTGACAAATGTTAGCCGCTGTTGTTAGTGTGATGATCATTACAAACACCACAACCTGCCTCATTCTATTAAGACTCAGTGGTACTCACTAAGAGCCAGGCCTTGTGTGAGTCCCGGGGCCTCGGTAGGGTAGGACCGAGTTTCTGCTTTCAGCAACTCCCAGGGCAGTAGGCTAGACAAACAATTTGCTAAGTTTTATGATGGGAAAGGTGTAGGCGGCTGGTGGAGCTCAGAGGAGCAGAAATGGTCTTAAATCAGGCTTGCCGGGGCTGGGGACAGTTAGGAGAGTCTTCGAGAAAATCTGAAATTTGCAATCTAGCTGTTATTGTCTCCATTTTTTCAGAGCAGAAACTGAGGCTCAGAAAAGTCATGCAGCTTTTGAATGGTGACACTGGATTCTTCTCTCTCTCTCTCTCTCTCTCACTCTGTTGCCTAGGCTGGAGTGCAGTAGCGCAATCTCAGCTCATGGTAACCTCCGCCTCCCGAGTTCAAGCAATTCTCCTGCCTCAGCCTCCTGAGAAGCTGGGACTACAGACACGTGCCACCATACCCAGCTAATTTTTGTACTTTTAGTAGAGACGGGGTTTCACCATGTTGGCCAGGCTGGTCTTGAACTCCTGACCTTGCGATTCACCTGCCTCCGCCTCCCAAAGTGATGGGATTATAGGAATGAGCCATTGTGCCTGACCGGTGACACTGGAGTCTAACACAGGGCTGCTTGGCTCCGAAGCCTGAGCCCTTGAAGCCACAGCATACCAGGTTTGGGTCCCTTCTTTCAGGTCTACTCCAGGGAGTACTTTGGGATCCTGCTGAATGGAGAGCTCAGCAGGAGCCTGATCACGAAAACCTTGAATGCCAGGCAAGGGAGGCTGGCTTTCTTCTGAAAGATTTGGGGAGCCCCTGATGGGCTTTCAGGGGCAGAGGCAGGCAGCACAGGTGGCATGGCCTGGAAGGCTGTCAGGAACAAGAGTGCCAGAAAAGGCTGTCTTGGAGTGTGGGAAACACAAACAGCCCCAGACCCTCCTTCTACCCATATGGAAAGAATGAGGGGTGTGGGGGTGCTGGGGACCAGGGGCTGAGGACTCAGGATATGGGCTGGAGTGAGGGGCAGGAAGCTTGGAGTTCAGGGAGGAGCCCAAGATCCAGCTTCTAGCAGCTCCGGCGCAGGCTGCTGAGGTCCTGGGCACCCTGGAGGTTCAGAGGGTAGGGAGCGTGAACTCACAGCTGGGGTGGGACTAGGCAGAGGGGCTTGGGGAACAAGGGAAGGGGAGTTGGTTCCCATTTCCCAGGGTAGAGGTCAGAGGTGGAGTTGGGTAGGGCAGGACCCTAAGAGCATGACCTAGGAGCCACTTCCTCTTTCCCACAGTGTGGAGTGATGTCAGTCCCGAACCCACCCCACTCCATCCCTGCCTTATAGCAGGCAAGCCTTGGCCAGGGGCTGTGGGAGACAGAGGCTCCAGGACAAAAGCCCCTGCCCTTTACCCCCATTCTTGCCACAGCCTGGGAGGGGAAAGACCACAGTAAGTCAGAAAAACAGCTCCTCGGCCAGGTGGCCCCACCTAAGCCCCATCCTTAACTGGAAGTCAAATCCCAACCCAGCTTTAGCGTCACACTTAGGCCTCAGCACACACACCCCCGTCATAAACCTGACCCAGCCACACCTCCTATCTCTGCTGCAAACTCGACTCCAATCCCAATCTTGCCGATGATCCCTTACCTAGCCCCAAACCAGCCTCCACATCAGTTACAAGCACCATATCAGCCCAATCTGGACTAAGCCCTCGGCCCCACACCTAACTCTAATTTACGCCGGCCCAACCTCAGCTCCGTCTCAACCCAACCCTCATACGAACCTACATTAGTGCTGCCCTAATGGATGCCAAATCCCAACCCCGCTCCAGTCCCCACAAGCCCCAGCTCTGGTCTAGCTTGGACCTCGGCCACACCCCGGAACCTCTGGTGCTCATCCCCACCCCAGCCTCGGAAACTCCTACTCCTCACCTTCCCCCAAGCTCCCTCCCCCAACCTCCTGTTGCTCAGCATCCAGGTCCCACGACTGACCCTCAGCCCCATTCCTTCCCCTCACCCCACTCACTCCCATGCCCACTCCTGTGCTCACTGCCATCTGCACTCAGCGAGGGGGCCACTGTGTTGCTGACCTTGGTGGGCACACACAAATGTCCAGGCACGCACACACACCTCAGCACACAGACACACCTCAGTGTATATACAACCCTCGGCACACACACATGCACAACACAGCAGATGCACTCAGCTCAGCATACATAAACACATCTCAGTGCACATACATACACTAGCATACACACACAGTGCACATACACAACCACCTCAGTGCACATACACACCCCTCAGTGCACATACTAGCATGCACACACACCCCTCAGTGCACATACACAGCTGACACACACGCCTCAGTGCACATACACGAGCACACACATACCTCAGGGGACATACACGAGCACACACACACCTCAGGGCACATACGGGCACACACACACCCCGATGCACATACACACACAAGCACACACACCTCAGTGCACATACACAGCACACAGTGCACATACACAGAAGACACACTCACACCTCAGTGCATATACATTAGTATACACACACTTCAGTGCACATACACACACATCACACACACCTCAGTGCACATACACAGCAGACACACACATGCCTCAGTGCACATACACACACCTCAGTGCACATACACAGCAGACACACATGCCTCAGTGCACATACACGAGCACACACATACCTCAGGGCACATACACGAGGACACACACACCTCAGGGCACATACACACTCCTCGGTGCACATACACACACCTCAGTGCACATACACACCCCTCAGTGCACATACACACACCTCAGTGCACATACACCTCAGTGCACACACACACACACCTCAGTGCACATACACAGCAGACACACATGCCTCAGTACACATACACACCCCACAGTGCACATACACACACCCCTCAGTGCACATACACACCCCTCAGTACAGGCACTCCTATATATATATACACACACTGGCAATACACACCTTGATATATATATGCACACCTCCTTGCACAGACACAAATACCTTGGTATACACAGACATACATATGCCCCTCAGCGCACACACACACACACACCTCAGTGTATACACAGGCCTCAGCACACACACCTGCAGCACATGCACACATACATATACACCTTGGGCTACACACCTGTCAGGGTATGTACAGACACCTTGGCATACACAGACATACACATCTCTGCAGACGCACCCCCCCAACACACACACACACACGCATGCACTCACCAGAAAGGGGTGGGAAATCCAGTGCAGCTGTGAGGACTGCCCTGGGAACTGGGCCACAAGCTCCCTGCCCCTCCCTGAGGGCCGTGTCCCTGCAGTTCCCTCCTGGTCAGGCCCTGCTCTCTCCAATTCCCTCTTCAGTGTTGACTTTCCCCACCCAGGAATTCCTGCCCAACCTCCTGCCCTAGGGCTGTCCTGGCTTCAGGCCAGGTTGGCTGAATAGAGAGATGACATCCCAGGGTTACCCTTTCTCCGGTGTCCTGGGGAATTCCTGCTCACAACAGCACACAGTGAATGCACGCTGTGCTGGGGGTGCAGTCTGAATGGGGTCAGAGTCTAGAGGGGCGCAGGCACACACACAAGCAATTCCAGTGTCACCATTCAAAAGCTGCAGAAGGGGACGGCACCTGTAGGGGCAAGGGGAGCAGTAAGGCGGGGGAGGAGCTCACTCAAGGACACCCTGAAACTGTAGGGCAGGCTCAACAGGATGGGGACCGGCACAGGATGGGGATGGCCTGTGGCTCAGACAGGCAGGAGGTCACCAGAGGGGCCAGGAAAGACCAGGAGCTGCTGTGGCTGCTAAAAATAATAAGGAACGGACCTCTGCTGAGCACCTTCTGTGTGCCAGGCATTGAGTGAAGTGTTTTAAAAACGTCACTTAATTCTCAAAACAATAACATCTACCCTACACCTACCCCACAAGATAGGTATTATTTTTGGTCCCCACAGGGGACACAGGGACAACGAGACTCAGAGAGGGGAAAGCATTGGCCCAAATTCACACGCCTCACAACTGGGCAGTGGGTGGAACTGAACCCAGGCAGCGCAGAGGGAGGGCTTCCTTAAAGTTGCAGCAATCACAGCAGCCCCTAACTTGCCCTGCAGCTTCCCCATCCCCCAGGCGGAATTTCCCACATTGCCCTGAATATTCCAAGCCTATCTCACCTCCTGGCTGTCCCTGCGGCATAAAATGGCCTTCTGCCCTCAGCCCCTTCTCTGAGAAAACTTCCATCCATTCTCCAGAGGTCAGCCCCCAGTGCAGCCCTGTCACCCACCCTAATCACCCTGCATTTCACTATCTGTGATGGGCCTTCCTCCTCCAGGGCAGGGTCTGAAGGCCCCACACCAGCACAGGGCAGTCATGAGTGAATATGCCTGGCTGGTGAATGAATGCAGGACCCAGACCGGCTGTGGGTCAAAGTGGGTGCTCAGGGAGGGGCTGGGGCCCCCCTGCCAGGCTCTTATCTCCCAGGGCTGTCTCGAGCCTTATCTGATAAGGCCTGACAGGTGAGCAGATGAGACTGACAAAGGCTTCCGGGTTACTAAGTAACCTGCCCTCTTTAAAAGTCCTGATGTTTCCCCCGGCATCCATAACAGCCACCCCTCTCTTTAGCACTGCAGCCATGAACGCCCTCCTGCTCTCTGCACTGTGCCTCCTCGGGGCTGCCCTGGCAGGAGGGGTCACCGTGCAGGTGAGTCCTGTGTCCCACCCTGGTCCAGCTGGCTTCCTGCCCCTTGTGCCCAGGGCTGGTCCCCTGAGAGAGTACTCCCTCCCTGGGGCTGGATTGAGGGTGTGTGTCCGAGGCTCAGCCTTCTTCAAGGAGCCCCTGCTCAGTCCTGCCATGCACACCCTTCCCTTCAACTTTGGAGGAGAAAGAACCCCACTGGAGGGAAGAGGAATAACAATATGGGGAGGGTGGGGAGTTGGCCAATTTACTGAGTGTCCCCAGCCCCTCACTGTGACCCCACCATCAACCTGGAAGGGAGGGATTATTAGTCCCATTTTACAGAGGGGAAAACTGAGCCTCACAGAAGTTCTGTAACAAACCATGGGCACATGGCTGTGGGAAGTGCAGGAGCTGGATTTAAATCCAGACCTTACTCCTCAGTTCCATGCTCAGCCAAAGCATCCTCTGGGTCCCAAGAACCACATGGACACCCTGGAGGTCCTGACAGATGGGTATGCCTACCAGTGCCAGTGCTGGCGACAGGCCAGGCTGGCACCCAGCAGGGCCCTGCTTTCTATCAAAGCCAGATTCCTGGAGGCCTTTTATTGCTTCTCAAACAAAAACCAGGCTGCAGGCTGGAGTTGGGGGCCCAGTGATCAGCCGCACTGCTCTCAGGCAGGGGAAGGACAGACTGGGCTTGGCCACGTGGAGCTACGACGCCTGGATGCTGGTCCTTTTGCTTTCCCTAAAAGTCAGCACGCTGTCTCCTACTCATTAGCCACCTATGGTGTTTCTGGCGCTCCACACCCATTTTCTCCATTCTTCATACAACATGCAGACTTGCTGGTTCCAGAATGCCCAGCGTCACAGAGCAAAGCCAGGGCGTGGGCCCTGAGCTCTGCCCCTCACAGTGCCTTGCAGTGGGCCACCTGGCTCCCATATGCCACAGCACTGCTCGCGAGCACCCCTGGGCTGGTCTGGGGCCAGCGCAGGGGGCACAGCCAGAAAGCAGGCTGCAGCCTGGCCTCACGCTCTGGGCTTGTCTCTTCCAGGATGGAAATTTCTCCTTTTCTCTGGAGTCAGTGAAGAAGCTCAAAGGCCTCCAGGAGTCCCAGGAGCCCAGGGTTGGGAAATTCAGGAAGTTTGGATTCACGCCTGGTGCACCTGTGGTTTCCATCCTCTGTAGCAACCCAAACTTTCCAGAAGAACTCAAGCCTCTCTGCAAGGAGCCCAACGCCCAGGAGATGCTCCAGAGGTTGGGTAAGCAGCCTCCTCTCTCCGGCGGGAATCGTCTGGTGGCCCTTGAGGAGGAGACAAGCTCTGATTGGTGGGATTTGGAGGAAGGGCTCAGCTCTGATTGGTGGGCCTAGGGAGCGTGGCTCTGATTGGTGGGTCTGTTCTGCTCCCGCTTCAATTCTAAGTTGTAAATGCGGAGGTTTGGGAACCTGGTTCTGCGAGATGGGGGTGGTAGCCCTGCGCCCATTCATCTGGTCTTAGTTGCTTCTCTTTCTGGTGGAATCTCTGCTCTGATTGATCGGTTTGAGCAGTCTATGAGCCCTAGTTTGGGGCAAATAGCCCAGCTGGTCAGAGTACGGGTCTGCTGGGATTCTCCTGGGGCTGAATGGTGACGTCCAAGCTCTGGGCCAAGGGCGGCAGGCGCCTCGCGAGGGAAAGCTGGTTCTCACGAGGCCCCATCTCTCTTGTGCAGAGGAAATCGCCGAGGATCCAAGCACCTGTGAGATCTGTGCCTACGCTGCCTGTACTGGATGCTAGGGCGGCTTGTCCGCTGCCCTTCCTCCCCTCCCCAGCAGGGAAGCTCTTTCTCCTGAAGGAAGGGCCGCCCATGGTACTCCGCTCCCAGCAGCTCAGCCTACCCTGGCCCAGTCGGGAGGAGCAGCCTGGGGAGGGACAGGGTGACTGGAGGCCTTGCCCCAACACTGTCCTTCCCTAGAGCCACTCCAACCCCCAGCTAATAAATCAGATTCCAGAGTACTCCGGATGTTGCCTTCCTTCCTTCATCCACTAGTCTACCCTGCCCTGGAAGCTCGGGACACAATGTACTAAGTGAAGGACCCCACTCTCCCTGCTAAGCTGCTCACTGTCCCTGGTGTTGCCATCACACAGAGGCATGGAGGAGATCGGATCTCCAAACCACCGAGGCAGGGGGTGGTGGGAAGTGTTTGGTTTTCTTTCACATCTCCTGAGGTCACCAAATTCACTGAGCCACATTTGAGCACAGGAGCCTGTCTGAGCTGGTCTGGATGACCAACACAGACACTGGACCCACTAAGAGACTGGCACCAAACTCTTGGGTATTCAAGCCTCCCACCAACCATGCCAGCATGGCCTCCAGCCCTGACCACATCCCAAACCACACCTCTTGCCATTTCCTCTGCTGCTGCTCACCTCTCCACTGCCCCTCTTCCCACACTACTGTCCAGGTAAACTCCTGCTCTGGCTCCAAGGCTTTCTCTCCATGGGCTCTCCTCAAGACAACTTTCTCAATCCCCCACGAAGAGTCTCAGTGCGCCCACTGTGACCTTGACCTTGGTGCTTTCTGGGCACTTGGATCACCCACAACCCTTGCACAGCTCTGGCCACCTCTTGTATAATGGCTTCTGTGCCTGTGGAAATCTTTCTGATATCCAGACCCATATAGATAATTGCCTGAGGATATAAAACAGGACAGGGTCTCAGGTGCAGCTTTTCCAAGTACTGGGTGATCTTTGGAAAGTCACCTTCCCTCTCTGTGCCTCAACCTCTTCCTCTATAAAATGGGGGCACTAATATTTCCTGCCTCCCAGGCTGGGTGAAATAATGCATGTAAAGCCCTCAGTTTAGGACTGACAAAAACGTAAGAGGAATTCAACAAGTGGTAAAACAAACCAAAGAAAAGGGGACCAGGATCAGGCTGAGAGTGGTTCAGACAGGGTGAGGAGGCAGGGTGTGGAAGTGAGGCCTGCTAGCCAAGGTAGAGGCAGCGAGGAAAGAGGAGGCAGGATGCTCAAGGCTCCATCTTGGGGAGTGTGGTGGAGGGGATTCCCCGGGCTTCAGAATTCAAAAGGAATGGTTTCTTCTAGTTGAGATCAGGAAGGCTTCGTGAAAGGTAAAGGCAGGTGTATTTGCCCTTTACCTTTCGAGATTTGCATTGGGTTGCAGTGAATTCCAAGAACTGTGTGGAAGTGGGGAACAAGAGGGTGTTGCAGGAGGTATGAATGGTACAGACAGACACAGAGGCACTGGAATGGTTCAGTCAGGACAGTGTGGAGTGGGAAGGGCAGACAGGACTGAGTTTAAGCCTTACTGTGTCATTTACAAGCTGTGTGCCCCTCTCTGAGGCTTTATTTCTCATCTGAAAGTGAGGATGATAACACACCCTACCTCCCAAGTTTGGCGGGACATTAGGTGAGATGTGTGGTGGAGTAGAATCATTTAATGACCTAACTCTGGAACCACACTCTGGGTATAAATCCTGGCTCTGCCTTTTACAGCTGTGTATCTTTAGGCAGGTTAGCTAGCCTGCTCGCTCCTCAGTTTTCTCATCTGTAAAAAGGGGAAGCTAAGAATCCATACATCGACCGGGCGCGGTGGCTAAAGCCTATAATCCCAGCACTTTGGAGGCCGAGGTGGGTGGATCAGGAGGTCAATAGATCGAGAATATCCTGGTCAACATGGTAAAACCCTGTCTCTACTAAAAATACAAAAAATTAGCTGGGCATAGTGGTGCGTGCCTGTAATCCCAGCTACTCGGGAGGTTGAGGCAGGAGAATTGCCTGAACCCAGGAGGCAGAGGTTGTGGTGAGCCGAGATTGCGCCATTGCACACTCCAGCCTGGGTAGCAAGAGTGAAACTCCGTCTCAAAAAAAAAAAAAAAAAAAAAGAATCCATATATCATATGGTCGAGTGAAGAGTAAATGTAAAAATACTGGAAAAATTCTTAAAACTCCACTGGTTTTGAACAACCACTGGGTCAAATAAGAAATCGAAAGGGAAATTGAAAAATATTTTGAGGCAAGTGAAAATGGCAATACAACATACAAAAGCTTATGGCATGCAGCAAAAGCAGTTCAAAGAGGGGCGTTTATAGCAGTAAATGCCTACATCAAAAGAGAAGAAAGATTTTATACAAACAACCTATTGTTACATCTCAAGGAACTAGAAAAAGAAGAACAAACTAAGCCCAAAGTTAAGGAAAGAAAAGATCAGAGCAGAAATAACTGAAATAGATACTAGGAAAACAATAGAAAAGATAAACAAAACTAAGAGTTGGGTTTTTGAAAAGATAAAATTGCAAAACTGTTAGCTAGAATAAGAAAAAGGGAGAAGACTCAAAAGCATTGAAAGCTATCCCTTTAAGATCAGGAACAAGACAAGGGTGCACATTCTTGCCACTTTTATTCAACATACTTCTGTACGGAAAGTCCTAACTGAGCAATTAGGCAAGAAAAAGAAACAAAAAAACATCCAACTTGGAAAGGAAGGAGTTAAATTGTCTTCATTCGCAAATGATATAATCTTATATATAGAAAACTCTAAAGACTCTACTAAAAAGCTATTAGAACTAATAAGCAAATTTAGTAAAGTTGCAAATTACAAAATCAACATACAAAAATCAGTAGCATTTCTATGATTAACAATGAATGATCTGAAAAACTGAGAAAACAATTTAAACAGCAATAACGACAAACATCTTAGGAATAAATTTAGCCAATGATGTAAAAGAATCATACACTAGAAAACACAAATCTATGATAAAGAAATCAAGGAAGATGCAAATACATGGAAACATATTCCATGTTCATGGATTGGAAGAATTAATATTTTTAAAATGTTTATGCTATCCAGAATGATCCACAGATTCAATACAATCCCTATCAAAATTCCAATTACATTTTTTTCACAGAAATAGAAAAAACAATTCTAAAATGCATAGGGAACCACAGAATACCCCAAATACCCAAAGCAATCCTGAGCAAAAAAGAAAAAGCTGGAAACATCACACTACCTGATCTCAAAATCTGCTACAGAGCTGTAGTAATTAAAACAGCACAATACTGGTACAAAACAGACATAGAGACTAATGGAACAGAACAGAGAGAGGCCAGAAATAAACCTACACATTTACAGTCTGATCTTCGACAAAAGTGCCAAGATCACACTACGGGGAAAGGACAATCTCTTCAATAAATGGTGTTGGGACATGCAGAAAAATGAAATTCGACACTTATCGCACCTCATGCACAAAAATTAACCCAAAATGGATTACAGTCTTTTTTTTTGTTTTTTTTTTTGAGACGGAGTTTCGCTCTTGTTACCCAGGCTGGAGTGCAATGGCGCGATCTCGGCTCACCGCAACCTCCGCCTCCTGGGTTCAGGCGATTCTCCTGCCTCAGCCTCCCGAGCAGCTGGGATTACAGGTACGCACCACCGTGCCCAGCTAATTTTTTGTAATTTTAGTAGAGACAGGGTTTCACCATGTTGTCCAAGATGGTCTCGAACTGTTGACCTCGTGATCCACCTGCCTCGGCCTCCCAAAGTGCTGGGATTACAGGCTTGAGCCATAAACTTAAGACCTGAGACTGTAAAACTACTAAAAGAAACCAAGAGCAGTGGCGAACTCCTGAAGTCCCAGCTACTCGGAAGCGTGAGGCAGGAGGATCACTGGAGCCCAGGAATTCGAGGCTAGTCAACACAACATAGTGAGACCTTGCCTCAAAATAAATAAATAAATAAACCCAAAACAAAGTAACGACAACAACAACAAAAATGTACTAGAGGAAACATAGGAGAAAAGCTTCTTGACATTGGTCTTGGCAACAATTTCTTGCCTATGAGTCCAAAACCCACAGGCAACAAAACCGAAAATAGACAGAAAGGAGCGCATCAAAGTCAACTGCTTCCGCCAAGTTAAGGAATGAAAAGAATCTATGGAATGAGACAAAATATTTCAAACTAAACATATGCTAGTGGATTAATATCCAAAATATATACAGAATTCAAGCAACTCAATAGCAGGAAAACAACCCAATTTAAAAACACACAAAGGAACTGAATGGACATTTTTCTTTTCTTTGAAACAGAGTCTCCCTCTGTTACCCAGACCGGAGTGCAAGGGCAGGATCTCAGCTCACTGCAACCTCCCCCTCCCACGTTAAATGGATTCTCCTGCCTCGGGCTCTTGCGTAGCTGGGATTACCGGCATGCACCACTATACCTGACTAATTTTTGTATTTTTAGTAGAGATGGGATTTCACCATGTT